AGAAAGATCAAAACAAATACAAAGTATAAAATACCATGTAGAAAATAATCTAAATGTAAAAGTGATCACAGTAATGTAACTAAACTAAACTTTCCAGTTAAAAGATAAGGATTATGAAACTGAATTAAACAAAATACCAGTATATTCTGTTCAATAGGGACTTTCCTAAAACAAAAGAAGGTTGATAGTAAAGAATGAAAAACAAAACCAATCAAATCCACACTGTGGATGTACAATAGCCAGAGAGCAGCTTAACATAACAACCTTGTTAAAATTAAAATACAAATTATCTGATTCTACAAAAAAAAAAAAGGAAATAAAGGGAGATTAAAGGGGAGATGGGAGATAAAGGGACAAAGGAGAGAGGAAGAAGGGGAAGGGAGAAAGGGAGGTTAGAGCATAACACCTCCTATGAACACTGTCAGGAAGATTCACAAAGTTGAGGCAGTCTCTTGCTGAAGAAACCAGAGTAGCAAGGGGGGGGGGCAGTGTATTAAAGTCCTCTGGGCTTTGTGGGTCCCTCAAAAAGCCTTGTTCATTCTTTGAATCACATGCAGTAACTGAAGGGCTTACTTTTGATATAAGTAGGGGAAAACAACACAAGGAGAATGATGCACCTTGACCCCTAGGTAAGCACAGTACACTCATAGGCATCTAGACTGTCAAGAATTTTAATGCCCACATTTTCTTTTGAGAAGGACAGTTTCCAAGTTCGTGAAGTAATACTACCTTTTTACCTATTATAAGGACGATCTTCCCTTCCCTTTCTTGGAATCTGTATAATTATTTTACTCATTTGTTTACTACGCCTGGAAGGGACGCAAAGGTTGAGTTTTATAATATATTCTGTGTGTTAAGCAAACTCGGGGCTATACATTTGTATTTATAATATTATTTATGGTTTATAAGAAATACTTCACTGCATGAGAAATATATATAACATTTCATTTCTGATTTTCCCATGAACATTAATACCCATTTGAATTGCAAAAATTCTGCTTACAAACAACTTTTCAGGAACACACCAATCTGAATAAAGCAAGGCACACCTAAACTGATAAGTAGCCTGTTCCTCAACCATCAGCTTTAAGCATCTTTATTTAAACCTTTCCCGTCATTACTACTGGGCTGACTTGCTGTCAGATTACTGTGCCAAGTCTAAGAAGAAGTTAAATACCATGGACAGCTGCTTTCTAGGCCAATGACAGCCTAGCACCAAGGCAGATCAACAGACCTCAGGAGCCCACCAAGGCGCAGCAAACTGCTTCTAAAACCCTGGAACTCCACTGCCTCGCATCCTTCAGGACTCAAACTTACTCCTAACCTGCTGTAGAGAGGTTTTCAGATGAGAATATCAATCATTTATAAGTAAAAAATATCTTAAAACAAAAATCTCTGCTTAGCATAGATCTTTCTAAACCCCAGCAAATGGCCTACTTATTTCAAGCAAAATTCTACACAATAACATGTTAGGATATCAAAAGCATTTGGAGGTCTCCTTGAAGTTTATGATAATGTGTGTCTTGCATACATACATTCACGGTATGTGAACTAGGGCTTATAAATATTATAATACGACAAACAGTATTTACCTCTAAACAATGGCCTGCTTAACTCAGTGATTCACTGGGGGTGAATTCCAACCTTCAAGAAATGTTTCAAAATTCTCAAATTTGAAATAATTTGTTCTGATTCCCTTTCCATTTAAGATTGAAAGATCAAAAGAAGAGAATGAACATTTACTGAACAACACACATTTGCCAAGGACTATGTATGGTAGCTGCTTAACATGCTTCATTTATTAATTGTTCAAACTTTATCAAGAGGGTACTATTATCTTCATGAGGAGGCTCAGTGAGTTTGCATGACTTCTCTGAGATCACAGAGCTTATTATACACGTGAAGTCAAAGCCTAGGGTACCATTACCATGTTGTGACACTACACAGTTTTTTAAAAAGGATAATATTATCTCTAAAATAAATAATTACAAATAAAAAACCACACAGGGTGAAACAATTGGGATGACAAACTATTACTTTAACTATGAAAAATATGGCAGTTCACATTTCACCGTGCTTCACGGTTGCCCCATGACATACATCACCAATAATGGGACCAAATGAAGACGTTCAACTTGTCTATGAAGCAAGTCATTCCAAAGATATTTCACTGACTAGAGTCCAGCAGAGCTGATGATTTTTTTTAGCCAGAACCTTTAATGATTTGTACAAAAATATATAAAATGCTTCCTCTACTTCCCCATATTCCTATGCCCCATAATTATGCAATAAAATAATACAGCGGCTGCCCTAATGTTTGGCTCAGTGGATAGAGCATCATCCTGTGGATTCAAGGGTCCCAGGTTTGATTCCGGTCAAGGGCATGGTTGCAGACACATCCCCAGTAGGGAGTGTGCAGGAGGCAGCTGGTCTATGTTTTTCTCTCTCATCGGTATTTCTAACTCTCTATCTCTCTCTTCCTCTCTGTAAAAACAATCAATAAAATACATATTTTAAAAAGGTAATACATCAGCTTTTGCATGAAGGTATGATTGGTATTTTGCTTGCTAAGTTTACATATAGCACATTCCTCTTTATGAAGACTCCACTGAGGGCAGGATTTTGGCTCAGCATCTTCCTTTTGAGTGCTTTGATGATGCTAGAAGCACTGGCTTCTGTAGAATGATGGGGAGCACAGCCAGAAATCAACTTTGCCCATCCGAGGGTTGTATGGCCACACCCAAGGACTCATCTGCCTTTGGGACAACTTGTTTAGGGCCTCGGAAGCAAAATCTTCTTAAGATTCTGAAATCAGGTGCTTGATAAAGATTAACTGCTGAGAACAAATTTTTTCAGCAATCATTCACTCAAAAGGAAAATTGACAAGGCAAAATTTTATGAAGGAAATCACACACCATTATGCACCATTTTACCTAAAAATGTATAACTGTGTCCTAGCATTTTTGATTCACCAAACAAACATTCCGCTTACCAAACAAGGCATAACTATGTTAAAACTTATGTTTCCATTATATTTATAGTTCGACTTAGTTTTTGAATATCAAAAGAAATAACACTAATTAAAAGGAATAAATGAAAGGTATTTGGTGCTAAAAGGAAAATAACACATGAACACACTTGGGGGGGATCAGAATGAGGAGTAGTCGTCATAAATATAATCTCCTTCCTATTATAATTAGATAAATCTGCAATCTCCAAATTAAAAGATGCGCACTATTAAGCATAGTGCAAAATTATGGAATTGAGTAACAACTATTAAGGAATGTGAGCCTAAGTTTCTGACTTTTAAATGACCATAAAAATGACATGACAGTCATCTAATATAGAAGGTAAAAATCCTGCTAGAGCTACTTTAATGAATGCCTTCTGATTGATTAAACACTGTCTATAAATGGTATTTTAAAAGTTATTCGCAAATGCATGATATCAGTATCCTGCCCCAATCAGAATACAAACCCCTTGCAATCTTCAATATACTACTGTATTGCCCTACAAATTCCTTTTTCATGAATGTCACTAACATAACCTTTAGCCAAGTCTGTATTTAAGTTAATGAAGTTCCCCTATGGGGTAACAGGAAAAAAATGGTGAGTTCTCAAAAAGACATTTTACCCTTGATGTGCCAAGGATATTTATAAGACACCAAATCATGTCCTTGCCTCTAATATATATGCTTTTCCTTCAGTACTCTAGTTGCCATAAACATGTAAGATTATTCATGCAAACCACTCACACTAGCAATCAGAGTCAAGGAGAAGGCTTGAGGGGTCATCCTTTTGGCCATAAAATTAGAGCAGGGAAAGGGGCTCAGTAATGACCCTGTCCTACGCCCACAAGGATATATATTCATAAACTCATGTATCACATCTGAACTCCTATTTGCATGTATAGTGCGAAGTGATTATTTTAACTACAGTTTCTAACTACAACCGTACACTGAGTGAAATACTCAAAAAAAATACAGTTCTCTTTTGCATATAACAAATAGAAATATTACTGGTATGTTTTTCTGCACTCTGCTCCCATTTCATAACTGCTACAAAAAAAAAAAGGATAGGTCACAAACTTGACCATAAAGGAGTTATACTAAATTGATATAATTTTTTTTCTTTTCATGCTGAACAAAATATCTCACCCTCTACTCAACATCTGTTTTTTTTGTTTTTGTTTTTGTTTTTGCACACATGAGACTTTTCCCAGATGCTAGTATGAAGTCTGCATATGTATTTTGGTTTTCTGTTTAAAATCACATTCAGAGACAACATTCCTATGTGAGGATTTACATTTTTGCAGATCAATTCCTTCTAAGCTCTTTCCCATTTTGCTCACCAGCTAGGTGGTAGGATGGCCACTATTGTTATTTAAAACCCCTCAAAGTTTACTATGAAAAATGTTTTGGGTCCTGTTTATCATGGTGTGCAAAAATGTGCCATCAAGCTTACAGAGGCAGACAGCAGGCAGACATCAAGCTGCCAGTGACTCCCCGTAATGGATCCCAATCAGTCCCTGACCAAGTGATCTGGAGCATACTGTGTGGATCGAGAATAGACATGACCCACTCTGATGACCAGTCTCTTGAAGACTGTTGACTTAGATAGCTTTGGGGACACACATTTTCTTTCTTAATTATCATGAACTTCCCCGTGAAAATTACATTGTTTCACAGAACCATTTACGCCTACTTGCAGGAAATAAGAGACAGATTATTTGTTTGGCTGAGTTTGCTGTGGGGTACTTATGTAACCTATATTTATGAGTGTTTTACTCTGAAGCAAACAGCTTGAGAACTTAGTAGAGTCACAAGAACATTGCTCCATAATGTTTCTCACTGCCATGTGAGTCGGGCTAGCAGAGAACTGCAAAAAGCAACCTATTATCCGCTGCAGCCCCAAACACCATCACATTAAAAAAAAAAAAAATTGGCAGATCTCAAAAACATAATAATTCAGAACATTCAATCAACAGCCACCACCACCAACCTTTGCTTGGGCCTCTGGCGCTGCCACCTTGACGACTTTATTGCGGCTTATCATTTGCTTCACCCATCTTTCCACCTGGACGTTGAACTTCATGAAGATCACGTAGACGAAGTAAGCTGTGAGGAGAAGCAGGCTCTCCCACCACATGATGAAGTTGTCCAGGAAAAATATGATCAGCATGATCAAGTCGATGATGTAGAAGGACACATCCCGGAAGAGGGGCCACCAGGTCAGGTTCAAGATTTCTCTGGAGAACAGCGCGCACATGCCAATCACAAAGAGGATGTTGAACACCGCGGAGCCCACGATTGTGCCTATGCCCACATTGCTGTGAGCAATAAACACTCCTATGAGAGACGTGAACAGTTCTGGGGCCGAGCCCCCAGCAGCCATAAAGGTGGCTCCGGCAACATCATCAGAGATGGCCAGCTTTTCAGTGATGACAGTCAACGAAGGAACAAAGAACTCATCGCAGACGATGGCCAAGGCTATGAACATGTAGATCATCCCAATGACGTGGAGGAGGATGGCGCCTTTGCGTCGATCCTCGAGGGAAAAGATGTCTCTTGGGTAGTTCCCTTGGTCCTCATCGGTACTGTTCTCAGATTCGCCTTCCTCGGAAAGAGGCGGCTGTGACGTGTAATCCGGAATCTTGTCGTTTAAATCTAGGAGAGTTCTCTGCCGGTAGCCGTGGGCCACCCCGGGGCCGGCTGCACCACCGGCCTCTCCCGTGCTCTGTGTCTCTGTCTCGGAAAAGACGCTGATTGAAAATGGGACCATGCTGATGGCGACCAGGCCCATGAAAAGGCCTAAGATTCGAATGAACTTCAGTCTTTTCCTGACAGCGTGGTGTTTCCTGCAGCCAGAAAGTGAGGTGGCTGGACACCGTTTCTCAGGGGAAGGGAGGGTGGTGCTCTGGTGCACATCCATCTCTGGGCTCCTGGTGGGCGAGGTGGTCTTCCAATCGTAAACTCACCGGGATGGCTCTTTCATGCTTTGCCTCACTGTATAGTCAATGGTGCTTGTGCGGCACTTCCACGGTCAGGGGTTCTTATGCTTCACAGGAGATGCTTTTGACATGTATGCTTTAAAAAATAAAAAAAATAAAATAACAAGGGTAAGAATATCATAAATATGTCTTAAAAAAAAAAAAAAAAAAAAAAAAAAAAGGACGTTGTATGCCAAAAACGGTTTGGCTCAGTGGATAGAGTGTCGGCCTGCGGACTGAAAGGTCCCAGGTTCGATTCCGGTCAAGGGCATGTACCTTGGTTGCCGGCACATCCCCAGTAGGGGGTGTGCAGGAGGCAGCTGGTCCATGTTTCTAGCTCTCTATCCCTCTCCCTTCCTCTCTGTAAAAAAAATCAATAAAATATATTAAAAAACAATAGCAACAACAATGAACGTTGTAGATTTAAGAACGTTGTAGATTTAAGATAGTCCTATCCTATAGCTGTGTGAGTTACTTAACTCCTCAGCCTCAGTTACCCCATTTCAAAAGCTAGGACAATGACAGCGCCTACCGCCAAGGATTGCTTTGAGGATGAGTTAAAGCACATGAAGCACTAAGAAGAGGATGTGGCACATAGTAGGCACTTACCATAACATATATACAATCACAAGCATTTTGGTAGATCCAATATTAGGTATAGACTATCTAGATGTGTGTTACGTGTAAAATTTTTCTAGATGAAAATCTGTCCCACCCTAAATCACCTAACAACCTCCCAGTGCCACAAAGATACCACTTCTTTTAGAACTACCTATGTACTGGACAGCCAACAACTGCTCTCCGTTTCTGTTAGCCCAGTTATGTAATTCCAGATGCAGGCACCCCTTTCTGATCCAACCCACCATTCGGAAAGGGCTGAGTGTTGGCGGAGGCAGCAATCTTTCCCTGAACACGTAAAGATCTCAGGATTTGATTTTCATGCATAGCTTCTCCTGTATCAGATGCAGAAAGCTAGACCTTGAAAAATTTAAGTTTACAAAAGAATGTTCTAGCGACGCGAACCAATTGTCTTCCCTCAACATCTAGACATTGTTGTCAGCTGAAGCTCACTTAAAAAAGCTCACTCTCCAGAGCCCTATTTGAAATAGACAACTCAGTAAACCAAACAACTCTCAACAAGAAGGCTATTTCAGGAGACCACATGTGTACCTCATAAACAATATGCAAGTTGCAGCAATACCTCCATCCACAAAAGCTGCCCCAAACAGCCCCAGCACCGACTCCTCTAGGCAGTGAGACATCCAAGCAGCTCCCATGCTCTGGCCCACAGAGGAGCTGGGCACAACATCCAGACACCGCCGCTCATCTTCTGAAGGTTCCTCTAACTTTCTTTAAAAACAGTCTCCCCTCCCCCTCCTCTTTCCCCGCTGAGTCCCCCCCATCAAAGATTGCACTTTAGGGACATTCTCGGGGATCATCTCAGGTGTAAAATAAGCTAATTAAACGCACGCCAGTTAAACGCTGAGATTAGCCGGAGGAGCTCAGGTTTGCACAGCGACAGCACAAGTCCAAGCAGGCGGAGATGCTGCTTCTTTATGAGATAAACCGAGCCCGTCACAGTTGCCCGGCGGCTGGCAGATGTCTAGCCCTTACTCTTAGCAGGAACGACAGAGCGACTCACAGCTCTCCGGGTGGGGGGTGGGGAGGAGGGATGGTCCCAGACAGCGCCAAGCCTGGCCACGGGCAGAGGCCAAGTCCACTCCCAGGGCGCGCTGTCGGCCCCAGCGAGAGTGGGGCTCCACCTGCAAACCCACAGCTCGGCTCCAGCAGAGCGGCCTCCGCTGGCCAAGGGTGCCCCGAACCACGCCCCAACTTTGCCTCGTGTGGTCCCCAACTTTCCCCGGTGGGTTACTAGGAGAATAAAGCTAAAGCACAGGCTGTCCCATTAGCCGGTCAGGAGCTGAACTGCAGCTTGGGGAGGCGCCTGGCCCACATCTCCCCGAATCCTTGGTGGTGACAAAGGGGGGTGGGGGTGGGGGGTAGGGAGCACCCCTCAGTGCGCTCCCCACCCCAAGCTAAAAGCAAAGGGCGGTAGGTGAGAGCCTCGGAGGCTCGGAAGCCGCGCCCGGAGCGGAGCGAGTTGGCTAACTCCAGGAGGGGCCTGGGGCAGCCGCAGCCACCGCGGAGCCACCTGTGAGCCTGCGGCGGCGGCCGCGCAGCACCGGGGTGCGCACCCCCGGGATTGCGGACCGTGACCCGGGTCCGAGGCGGCCGCCGAGCCTGGCGCCTGGCAGAGGCTCGGTGTTGGACAGACACTCACCGGAATCGCCAGGGAGACTCGCACACGGCGGGGGTCCAGGCACGGTCTGCGCTCCAGTGCACCGCTCCGCCAGCTCTTCACCCGCCCTCCACCTCCCTGCTCCGAGGCCCTGGCTCCGGCTCCGGCTCCGGCTCCGGCTCGGGCTCCGCTCCCGCCGGCCGGGCTGCGATGATCGGAAGGAGACTGAGCGCAGCGAGCCCCGCGCGCCGCCTCCCTGCGGCCCGGCCCCCAGCCCCTCCCTCCCTCCGGGGCTGCGGGGAGGCGGCCGTGGCGCTGGGCTCCCGCGTGCTGGCTCCGCGCCTCCCGGGAGCAGAGGCGACGCTGGCAGCCCGCTGTCTCTTAGGAGATGTCTCCTCAGGGGTCGGGATCTGCAAGGACGGAGAGGAGAAATCAGACAGGTCGGGTCGCACCGGATTCCCAAAGCCTGAGCGTGCTGTTGACAACTTCAGTGTCAGCGATGCCCGCACCTCCTCTTCCCCAGTTGTTTGCAAAAAAAGTGACAACAGTTACTATTTCTTGGGGAGGTGATGTCATGTGCCAAGGTGGAAAGGGTGTTTGGGGGAAAGGCAGGAAGGCCTACAGGGCCGTCTGCTCCTGGAGTCCCGACTTGGCGAGGTGGGAACAAGGAAGGTTATTGCATGGGCGATGAAGCTGAGATCTAAAATAGTGGCATCTTGAGTTACAGACAGGGCCGGTACGCTGGCATCAGGACTCCCAGCCCAGCGCTCCTTCCTGCCCTGTCTGGAAAGCAAGAGCCTCTTGACCACGAGAAAATGAGTCAGGCTTGTTGGAGGTTAGAGGCAAGAAAGGGGCCCAAGAGTGGGAGCACCTGAAACAAGCCAGTTCATGAGGGACCCCCCACCCCACCCTTTTACCCACCTGGGACCACCACCAAACTGCCAAGAGGGTACCCAGGAGAAACCCGTGGGACTTTCCCCCCCTCTCCTTTCCCTTCACCCTCCCACTGTTTTCCACTTAGAGGTGGTTTTTGTTTGTTTGTTTGTTTGTTTGTTAAGGGCTGGAAGGTGCCCTGGTCTGGAACCACCCTGGCAAGCAAGAGTTGGTTGGCAAGTGAAGATTTGACAGGAAGAAGGAACAGCTGAGCTAAGCCAGCCCAGGCTTTTTTTTATTTTTATTTTTTATTGCCTTCCTAGGACTGAGGGGAATGTGGGTCATATCCGGATAGCTCTCTACTTATGAATTTGAATACAGTACTATACTCAGATTTCTATCTACACTTATTCTTGATACGTCAAGAAAAGCCTTAGAAATCTCTTTCTCCCATCCAAGTCAGGCATTGTCTTGCTAAGGACTTCGAGGTCCTCTTGGAACTCATAAGCTGAAGATTTTTTTTTTAATCTTCCATTTTTATTTTGGAAAGTTTCAGGCATATACAAATGTCAGAGAATAGTATAATGACCCTCCATGGGACCACCACCCAGCCTGAACAGTCATCAACTCATGGCCAGTTGTTTCATCTTTTTCTCACGCCATCATTTTAAAACAAATCCCAGACATGAGATCATTTTACTTTAAAATAATTACAGAAAGCAAGGAAAGTATCAACTGCTAGGATTGTGTCAAAAAGACTAAAAATCGATTCACACAGGCGCCCACTAGGCAAGGATGGGCCAATTGGAGCACGAAAATTTGGTAACTGCAATTGTTGCAAACACATCATATAGGATTATATCTACAAGTTAAAAATAATTCTAAAGCAACTCAATTGATTAGTTACTGTCATGGTTAAGGGAACGAACTCATTATTTAGAATTTTTTTTTTAAAGAAACAGTCATGCATTTATTCTTCCTTTTCTATACAAACTGGACTTCAAGGTGATCAATTAGACTTTACCTTATCTTGCCTTTGTTTTTGCTTTCCCAGTCTAATAATTCTAATCTTCTCTCCTGTAACGAGGGCCCGGGCTACATAGGGGTAGGGTGGGGAGGAGAGAGCTATGCATATAGGGTTCTGCTTAAAACAAAAAGATTGTAATAGATTTTTAAAATATATTCCTATAACCATGTACTGTTCTCCTAGGATCTGTATACATGTTATCCAGCTAGTTCCTCATGCAGCCCAGAGATATCCAGAGTCCCCTCTGATGGAAGGGAATGAGGCCCAGATGAGGTCCAGATGAAGAACTGATCAGTGTGCAGGTGGTATTGGTTAGGGTTTGTACTTGGCTGCGTATAATAGAAACTCATTTGTAGGTTTTCAACCAAATAAGAGTTTGTCCCATGTAAAAAGAAGTCTGAATGCAGACTTTCTAGGATTTGTATGATAGATCAACGATGCCGTCACAAAGCCCAAAGCCCTTGATCAGTCTTCCTTAACGTACGGTTTTCATCCTCACAGCCACAAAGTGGTTGCCTCTTTCAGGTGGTACATCTGTGTCCCCGGCAGGAAGAAGGGAAGGAATTGGAGGGTGAAAGGCAGAAAGCCTCCTTGCCAGCTTTGGGAACCAACGTGGCGGGGCTCCCACCCATGAGAAGCACAAGCGACAACAACCTAAGAAACAGCTTTCCGGGTGTTCGCTTTGCCTCAGCCTCCTGGGGGCGCAGCAGAGGCACCCATGGAGGCTCAGAGTTTGTGCAGAGCAGGCGCTTTGCTGATCTTGGAGTTTTGACAGAGGGGGCAGGCATCTGCCTGACACACATGTGGGGGCCTGCTGGAATGCTCTCAGGGACAGAAACTGGTTGGTGCCAGCTTTCGGCTCTCCCTTGGCCTTGCTAGCGGCTAGAGTCTAGCCAATGAGCACTATGTTTTTTTTAAAACTTGAGGCTCCTCCCCCTTCTTTCTTTTTTCCTCCCTTCCTCTCTCCTTCCCTCCCTCTAATAATCCTATATTACCTCTCTCCCTCCCTCCCTCTTTTTTCTTCCAGGTGCTTTTTCTGCGCTCACTATGGGCCTTGCTCCAGGTGGCAAGCCCCATTTCCACTCTCCCTCTGCTTCTGTCCAGAGCCAGTATGTCCCCAAGGCAGCTCTTTCATGTCTCTGGTCCCTCGTTTATTTGTTTGTTTGTTTTGTTTTATTTGTTTGTTTTTTTAAAATAGATTTCAGAAAGGAAGGGAGAGAGAGAATGAGATAGAAACAACAATGATGAGAGAGAATCTTTGATTGGTTGCCTGCTGCACACCCTTCACTGGGAATCGAACCGGTGACCTCATGGTTCCTGGGTTGATTCTTAACCTCTGAGCTACACCCAGCTGGGCTCTGGGTTCTGGTCCCTCTGTTTTTACTTCCGGTGACCCGCCCGGGGGGATGCCCTTTGATCACACCGGGGACTTTTGTTCCTAAGTCCCCTGGCACTAAAATAGTTCCTGGCAGGTTCAATTGCAGGCAACCAAGGGTCAAGATGCAGAATTCAGTTTTTACTTTGTCAGTTTAACCATCTTTATTTTTTTTCTCCACACATTACTACCCTTTTATTATAATCTTCAGCTTCTATGTGACCAGTTTCTGCAGGCACTCAGGACATATATGAAGGATTTGATATATGTTCCAACCTTGACTCTTATTAATCATTAGAATCAACAGGAGATATATATATATATATATATATATATATATATATATATATATATATATATATATATATATTAAAGATTTCCCCTTTACTATGAGCTCTTTTGAGGGCAAGAATCAGAATCATACATCTCCCAGCATGTAGCACAGTGCTCGTTCAACACTTGTCTGTGGTATGAATTAATGAGTTCCTGGCAAATGCAGTTATGAGTTAATAGGGAGGTGCAGGTTATGCTGCAGCAACAAAGAGCTAAAAAAAAAAAAAAAAATCACAGTGGTACAAAACAACAAAAGTTTTTGTTTCCCACTCACCATACCCATCCTTTGTGGATTTTGCTGTGTCATCCTCACTCCTGACCCCGAGCTGGTCACTATCTGCAACATTGCCAGTTGCTTTCTAGAGAGAGAAAAAAATGCATGGCAAATCTTATACTTGCTTTTAATGCTGCTCAAGTTTCATTTGCTAAAGCAAATCACACAGCCACATTTATCTTCAAGAAGGAAGAAAGTGCAATTGCTGTGTGCTTGGGAGAAGAATGAAAAGATTAGGGGTGGGGTGGGCGGGGAAGGGAAACTAACATGTTAAGTACCTACCATGAATTAGGAATTTTAACCTATCTCTTCAATCTCACTATTATTATTCCCATATTACAAATGAAAAAACTGAGGCTCAGTTAGGTCAAGGGGCTTGTCTGATATCAAACAGCCTTCATTTGTGCCCAATTCTGGTTCCAAAGACCAGGTTCTTTCTATTAAACCTCATTGTAATGACTGAAGTTTTTAGTTGCTGCCTGATCAAGTTAGTTGCATTTTTCCTGTTGGGATTACAAGTTTAGGTGATTCCTGTGAATTTTTTTTCTTTCTACCACCAGCTGCTGTACAATCTAGGATAATTATCTACTTCCTAAGAGGACTCATTTTGCTTATTTAAAAATCACAGATGTAAATATCAAAATAAAATCCTGGTGTTCTCTAAAAAAAAAAAAAATGTCCTCCTCAGGCCCCCAACCCTAGGTTGACTCTGTTTTCCTTTGTTTGAATTTGATTCTTTTTTTAATTTTTAATTTTTATTTTTATGAACTCCCATTCCAGTTCAATGAGAATCATAAAAGCAGAAAGAAATTTCTGTGGGATTCAGGGACAAAAGTACAAGCTACTTTACTGTTGACAGTGGTTTCAGCAGCAGCAGCAGCATTTAAGCAACACGCCCAAATTATTGCTCTTTCTTCTTCTCCCCTGCATCTATTAAGGAGATGAGAAATGATGAATGCCTGTGGTTTCTGCATTAGGGACAGGAATTTTTTCGGGCTTAAATGCTCAGGAAGTACAAAAATTGAGTTTCTTTTTGTGATACCAGCTCAGCTCAGGGCTCCTGGATACCGAGATGGGAGCAGTGCTGAGGCAGGGCTGGGAGGAGGGCAGGAGGGAGGAGTCTATTGATTCCATCAAGGGACTTGGAGCCCAAAACCCAGTCTGTCTTCCTGATTTCTGCGAAGACATCCTAAGCGACCTCTAGGTGCTTCCTCTGTCTCTCAGAGCCACATCAGCAAGGATAGAGGGATAAGGAGACAGGCTGCGAAAGAGGTCCCGTGTCAGGACAGCCCCTTCAGCGGGCATGCACTTTGAAGAGCTCAAAAAAGTGTTGTCCTGCCGAAACCAGTTTGACTCAGTGGATAGAGCTTCGGTCTGCAGATTGAAAGGT